TTACGGAAAGAAGGAAGGCGGGGCGGGGTGGGGGGGAGGAAAACTGAACAAAAATGCAAAGGGGTTAAAGAAGAAAAGAAGTCTGGCAAAGTTACATGTTGCCGTCATGTTCCATGAAATTAACTTTCTTTGCTAGTGGGCAGCCAAGACTATAACCACAGATTTGCTTTAATCACTGGACAGCTCCCGGGAGAGGTTGGACCCAGATTCCCACCCCTGTAATCTGTAGCATCTGATGAAAACAATTTGGACTGCACTAATCTGGGGCTAATAGGCAAAGGCTGCAGTTTGCTCTCCCCTGTGTGCTGCCAAAGTACAATGACATATTTCCTGCCTGCTTAGACTAATGATGTTCAAAGCTGAGAAGGGGAAAAGGAAAAAATAAGTTTACCCTTCCCTACGAAGAGTGGATAAACTGGATAAATATAAAACCAAGTCTGAACAATATGAAGCACAGTGGGGCGGGGCGGGGGGGGGCGGGCGGAGGACAGCGGAGTCTGGTTCTCCCCCCCCCCCACTGTGCTTCAGCCTTTTAAATGTATTAAGAGACTGCTGGCTGTTAATATATTTAAAAACCAGAGACACAGTGCCTGGGACCAGGTGCTAGCCAGGAATCAGCTGATTCCCAGGTCATGCCTGTTTTCCTTCTACACCTCTGCCTCCCCTGCCCCCCGGCACAGACAGTGCTGAGGAAAACTGGCTTTTAAGCCGGCTCCCTCAGCACTGGCTCTTGCTCCCCCCCACTTGCTGCCGCTATCAGTATTGGCAGGGCTCGACAAACAATGTAATCTACTCACCTGTGGCAGGTAGATTACACCCCCGGAAAAGCCAGCGCAGAATGATCTGCACATGCGCAGAACCGCGCGGTTGGCGAGCAGGGCTTGCCACCACTCGGAGAGCCCTGAGTATTGGCATAGTCCAACTACAACTAGGGAGGTAAGCGAGTAGTCGACTAACAGATAAGCATACTTAGTTGAGTTGACTACTCGCATTTCCCCTCTTATAACAGAGGCAGCAAGGGGCGGGGGGGAACATAAGAACGGCCATATTGGGTCAGACCAAAGGTCCATCTAGCCCAGTATCCCGTCTGCCAATGGTGGCCAATACAAATGCACCAGAGGGAGGGAACACAATAGGGAATCATCACGTGATCCCTCTCCTGTCAGTCATTTCCAGACAAACAGAAGCTAGGGACACCATTCTTTCCCATCTTGGCTAACAGTCATTGATGGACCTAACCTCCATTAATCTATCTAGCTCTTTTTTGAACCCTGTTAAAGTCCTAGTCATCACAACATCCTCTGGCAGGGAGTTCCATAGGCTGACTGTCCACTGAGTGAAGAAAAAGTTCCTTTGTTTGTTTTAAACCTGCTGCCTATTAATTTCATTTGGTGACCCCTAGGGCAGTGGTTCTCAACTCATTTCAGTCCACGGACCACCAGACCAATCAAAAATTTTCGTGGACCACCTTCTTTTTGAGGCACAATAAAAAAGAGCAGACAACAAACATTTTGGTTTGAAATTTATTTCTTACTAACAGATTTTTGGTGCCTGCCCACGCCAAATTGACTTTGGACAATGTTCCTGTGGACCACTGAATAAGTCACCATGGACCCCCAGTGGTCCATGGACTACCAGTTGAGAACCACAGCCCTAGGGGAACAGGAGCCATCTTAAAAGACAGTTCCCCCCAGCACCATGTCCACAGTGCCACCTG